TATGTAGGTTACTACATTTCTTTAATATAAATAAATAATAATAAATAACGCACACACTCAACATAGCCCCGCACTAGGGAATCCCTGTGTCGCGGGTGCCATGGCCACACACATAGACAACCACAAATTACACCCAAACTCACGAGAGAAATAATTGTAGGCCATACAACTATTTCTCCCGGCCCGGGAATCGAACCTGGGACCTCTGCGTGGCAGTCCGGCATGGTATACGTTCGGCTACGGAGGCAGTTAATATCAGTTTATAATGCAATTCATTTCAAATACACTTGTTTAGTTAATATTCTCATTGACATTTATGGTACTAAATTGACATGTATTGGAAATCATGATTAATGATTACGATTATTTTCCTTTTATACGGCATTCTAAGAGCTATTTCTGACTATATGTCTAGTTCAATTTTAAAATACTAGCGTTCCTTCCACCTCGACGCAAACAGGAAATTGAGTGGTCAAAGACCTGTGCGGGTCATGTTTTACTTGTCTTGTTTATTCTGTTTTTTTTTTATTATTATTAATGTCGTATAGTATATTTGTAAAATTGAGTTTTGCCTGAAAATAATCTACTAGTTGGACAACATACCAATTTTCAATTGCCTATAAGACTAACGCAGCGGAATCACCTAAGTTATTTTACTAAACGTAGTTAGTAGTTTCGTTGACGTGACGTGATACACAGAAATGGTTGCAATATTTACATGTTTAGTTAATTGTAGGCATATTTTGATTTACTTGTATACAAAAATTGTCATTATCTTTACTGTATTAAATTTTAAACGATTGAATCAGTAATTTATCATATTTTATATTAATTCACTTCAGCAATTACTAGCTGTTTGCGTTTTCTGAGTTGTAGATAAACTAGTAGATATGTATTTATACATATTATTATTATTGTTATTAGGGTGGTTTCATTTGAGGCCTATGAGGCCCCTCATCACTGCGACCATAAATGATATATTGTGATCACCACTAATCACAGCTCGGAGCCAAAACCAACAGCATTAAGGAACTGAAGGACTTTCCTGGCTCCGACAGTCTTTATGTCCTCTGGGTGTGGCTTGTGCCTACCCAGTATGGAACTTCTCACACCCATCAGAGGGCAGCACTGGGTGAGGAGATGCACAGGAGTTTCATCCGCCTCGTGGCAGAATCTACATTCTCTGTTTTCTCTCTGTCCAATATTTGACATGTGCTTATTCAAGCCACAATGTCCTGTTAAGGCTCTAGTCAGCATTCTGATGCCATTCCTGTCCAGTGACAGAGCTTCTCTACAGTGTTTAGCACTGAAGGCAGCTATCAGGGCTTAAGAATGCTCAAGACCCTTAGTCTGCAGCCACACGTCTCGGGAGACGTGGGAGCTCTCGTTTAGCAAAGGAGCTTTGCCAGGCTGTGTGCTATTCCTATAAAGGGCTCAGGACCAATGAAGGCCTCCCTAGCACAGGCCTTTGCCAGTGCATCTGCTGCTTCATTACCCTCGATGTCAGAGTGATCTTAACCTGGTGGAAAGCCTATACATGCTGTTACCGGCCTTCTTCTGTATGAATACATGCAGGGAAGTCAGATTCAGCAATGCATTTAGTGCCGCTCCAGGTGTAGTGGACTTGGCTCCCGTTGTTAGCAGTAGTAGTTAGACACGCTGTAGACTGCCTAATGTGACAATACTGGTTGAATGACTGACTTTGCCACTCCAAACAACAGACGCTTATGTTACAATGGGCCTCACAATTGCCTTGTATAACCAGAGAGTCATCTTTGGTTTAAGACCCCAGCGCTGTCCTGCCATACGACTACAGATACCTAAGGCCAACTGGCCTTGTTGACCGTGTTAGCTATATGACAGTTCCATCTTAGGGTTTGATCTAGGGTTACCCCTAAATATTTAACTTCTGCGGAAAAACTCACAGCCTGTCACCAAGGATCGGTTCCACTAGCTTTCTAGTTTCCGCTTCCTAGTGAAAGGAACAATAGTTATCTTTTCTGCATTAATAGATAATTCGTTATCTTGACACCACGCGGAAATGGTGTCAAGAGCTCCTTGCATAAGTGATGATATAGTGCTTTGGCAGTGCCCTCGAACAGTTCGAGGGCACTGCCATCTATCACTAGGTCATCCGCATATCCCTGGGCGTCAATGTTCCGTTCGGCCAACCTATACAGAAGCTGAACCACAACAAGAGTCCAAAGGAGAGCAGAAATTACTCCACCTTGCGGGCAACACTTTAATGCGGAGGCCACAAGCCGGTCCCCGTGTAACGAGATACTGGCTCTGCGGCTTAAGAGCATATTTTGCACTCATCTCGTAGTAGAAGTGTCTACACCTTTGCAGGTTAGTCCCTTTACCAAAGTACGAATGGGCTTATTGTCAAAAGCACCCTCTATGTCTAGAAAGGCACATAGTGCTATTTGTTTGTCCTCAAACGCTCTTTCAGCCCTGTCCATAAGATGGAGCAGAGCTGTCTCTGTGGATTTTCCACTTTGATAGGCGTGTTGAGTGTGATAGATAGGTCTATATATTAAGGACGAAGCCCTAATGTGATTGTCAAGTACCTTTTCCATTGCTTTGAGCAAGAATGAGGTTAGGCAGATGGGTCTAAAGGACTTTGCAAGAGAGTAGTACTTTCTGCCTACCTTTGGTATAAATACTACTTTGCACGTTGTCCATTTAATTTGGTATGTGTCCCCAAGCAAATCTGGCTCTATATATTTTGACCAGGTATGGCAAGAGTACACTTATACCCTGTTGCAGTAAGATGGGAGTAATACTGTCCTCACCTGGGGATTTATTTATTTATACATAAGGCGCACTATAAGTTTTCGGAACTGACCACTTACATAAACAATATTTAAAAAGTAATTACAACATTTGAAAATGGAACTCTTTGGCTATAGAATTCAGTTTGTTTCATCTGACTGTCCCTTGTTTTTACATTGTGGCGTCATTTTAGAAATTGGTTGTCTACATCACCATAGATTTAACTCGTGAAAATTTTCGTAGTATGATTTTCTAAGACTTTAAGTGTAAATTAACAACTCAGCGGAGCTTCACCATGCAAGACGACTATTTATAGCTGGTTTGCAGAATTCAAACGCGGTCGTGTGAATCTCAGTGACGAATTTCGTGATGATCGCCCGTCCACTGCTGTGAACAACAAAAACATCAATGCTGTGTGCCGTATGATCAAAACAGACAGGCATGTGACATAGCATAAGGTTTGAGCATCTTTAGGCATAGGCATAAGTCAAATATAATCAATACTACACAAACATTTGGGTGTGAAAAAGCTGTGCTCTCGGTGGATCCCACACAATTTGTTTGAGGCTCAAAAAACGGATCGCATCACTTGGTGCAATGCTATGCTTACGCGCAAGCAGCAATCGAGCGTATGGGTCTTTCGAGATGAGCCGAAACCAACCTAAGTGGCGCGTGCAAAGTGCCTCTAAGCGGATGATTGCTTCTGTTTTTAATAAAACTGGACACATGGCTACTGTTGCTTTGGAGAATCGTTGTACCGTGAACAGTGATTAGTACACGACCATTTGTTTGCCGGAAGTTATTGACAAACTCCGTAAAAAATAACCGTAAACGCCGTATCATCTTGCGCGGCAATGCCAGTTCTTCAAGGTCAGACAGAAAAATGAAAATGAAATTTTTGAAGGTGAACAACGTTGACCTTATGAGCCATCCCGCGTACAGTCTCGACCTGGCACCTTGTGATTTTATTTATTTCCAAAACTTAAGCACCAGTTACGCGGTCAACGATTTTCGTCACTTGAAGACGCTGTCGAAGAGTATGAAAAATATGCTTCAGAGATTGTCACGGAGGAGTGGCATAAATGTTTTCAAAAGTAGTTGATTCGTATGAAAAACAGAGAACAACTAACGGAGAATATTTTAAGAAACAATAAATTCATTTTTGACCATTTATAGTATTTTTTTCTTATTCATTCCGGAAACTTGTAGTGCGCCTCACGTATTCATGCTATATTATTTACATGATTACATACCGCTAGAAATGTTCTTTACCACAATATCACAATAATCTCTTGAGCTTTCTTTAAACATATGGTATCGTCCACCTTGTCCCAAGTTCACATAATATCAAATTTATTTTACCAAGCTTAACATTATCACATCAAATGGTTTCTTAAATCAGTAGCATACAGACTCATGGCACATTACATACTATGTTGCGTTATTCCTTATGAGGTTTGAGTGCTCAAAAAGTTATCTAAACTAGATGTTTGCTCTCCTGTCGTTGCGTCATCACTAGCTGGAGCTATCGAAACGATGAAAGAAGAGGTAGGTATGAGATACCTATGTAATCTTTAAATATACAGATGGCAAATGGTGGTTATGAAAGATAATATCCGTACCGTTACCCGACCCGCAGATTTACGCCGCGGAACAAAGTAAGATAATTTCACACTTAATAACTGCCATAAGTATGTGACGATCGTTGTATTTACCTAATAATACCGTGACAAATTCTTTGATAAAGTCATTGACATTGTGAATGAATGTGGATTCCTGCAAATATAGACAAACAAAATTTTTCGATCACTTTGCTTTACAAATCATGTACTTCACTGTGTCACTTATTATGGATTACTCCCCAAGTTAAATGTATAACCTTAGTGTATAACTATCAACTAATGCTTTGTCTCTATGAGTACCTAGAGATAATGTACTATGATACACCGTAGCACCGTACACAGGTAAGTATATAGATAAATACTGTACCAAGTCAATATATATTCCTTCTGTTTCCATTCTAAAGTCTTCATCTATGACATTCTATCAAAACAAATACAAACACCATTTTGTTCAGTCGGTAAAATGTCATCGATATTCTCGAGTAACGAACGCGTCTCTAGCCTTTCCATTCGTTCTTAACAGAAACCCTATTGGCCATTGTCATTCAATTCGTTCATTCATTTTTTAACGCAGTGTGTTTGTCTCTGTTGCGCATTGCGCCAGTGCTGTGAGGCGTCTCTCTCGCTCACTGGTTGGCAGCTTTCCCCGGGGCAAGCAAAACTAAATTGAAGTGTGGACTTTTGAATATTAGTTTATTTTTAAAATAAATTAAACTTTATTTACTTAATACAATTATGCACCACTATTCTGTGTGTAAACATTTCTGTACTTTCACTATATAATTTACGAGGGAGGTTATTCACTGTCAAGTGTCAAAAGGTGCCGTTGTTTTGACTGCTTTCTCACGATATGATTTTGATGTTAATATTTTATAATAAAATTTTAAATAAAAACAAGTGAATAAACAGAGACCATTGCCAGCCTTTTAAAAAATTGGAGTTACAAAATCTTAATTTGAATTAAAACTTCCTTGTTCGCGAGACCGTGTTTTGTTTGGATATATTTTTTATAAGAATAAATCGTGATTTCGTAACGGTAGTTAAGTTTTTAGGAGTTCCTTTGTGTTGTGTTCAACATAAAGGCTGTTGGATATACATAGCCGATAGACGGTGGAATAATAAGTATACTATACGGGTAAGTTTAATCAATTTCTTTAATTTGTTTTTAATCGTCTCATATGATAGTCACGAGTCGGTTATATCGCTGATAAGATTACACGGCATTAGTTAATCATGAATCAGTTAACTTTGATTATGAAACATTGAAAATTTAAGTTAATTGTTGCTGTTCACCCCATTGTCTTGAGATTGTTAGTCCTAATGCTAGTTTTACGCGCCTGTATTTATTGTCTT